GTTCGGCAGCAGAAAGCTGTTATTTAACGTTGGCTTTTTAAAAACTTTCCTGGAGGGACAAAAAGCGGCGGAAAGCACCACCTGTGATTTTAAAGCCGGCTGCCGTATTATTAAGAAACCCACCATCAGCTTTCGGCTCGGAAAAACTAAATGTCACTCTCCGCTCCGCCACGCTGTTCCGGCTTTTGTTCCCGGGCCAATTAGAAATTGTTAAGAAGGAAACTACGGCACGATTCAGCCGGAGCTGGGAGCAATTTTGCCTCCGGCTCCTTTCACTGCTCACCTCTCTCCGGAGCCTTTTCCAAAAGCCTCGGAGGTGTTTCCTCAAACCTGAGGACCAGAGATGTTCAGTAACGAGGTAGAACTACTTAAGTACTGTAATAAAGTACCAAAATGCAGTATCTGTACTAGGGTTGTCACGATACTAAAATTTTCAACTCGATACTCGATACCATTTTCGATACCACAAGGATAAAAACAAAGACCCCAAAATTTAACTGAATTGTGTCTTTCATTTCAAACTGACCTGTTACTGATGTTATCGTGACTGGTGGATCACATTAATGACCCTAATCCTAACCCTAATCCTAACCCTAATCCTATCCCTCCAGCCTTCATAATAGTGAGAAATAAATATATTTTGGTTAAACTTGTTTGGACTTATTGTACAAACCTATTTAACATCCACTATTTTAACATAATATTATGGATAAAGTTTAATTCAGTGTTTGCTAGATTACTTTCACTATTTTTAAATTAATGTCTATATTGCCATGAAGCAATTAGGATTTTCTTGCCTGGGATCTTCCTATTGGTGACCTAATCAAAACGTCCGATTTGGATGTGGGCGGAGTTAGATATGTACTTGATTAATGTTGGCGTGTTATTATTAGCCATTAGCTGCAGCTAGCAAGGCTAACGTCTTGTTAATGATCATAAACAATGTAAATAAATACATAAACAAATCAGAGAGAAGGGGCGCGCGGTGGTATCGATACTTTTGAAAATGAGTATCGTATCCGGATACATTTTAGTATCGATACTTTTTCGAGTATCGATACTTTTGACAACCCTAATCTGTACTTTATTGGACTATATATTTTTTCCCTACTCTTACTCCACTACATATTTTTGATTAATTTAATACTTTTCAGAGATGCATGAAGCTAACATTAGCTAACATTAGCTAAAGCTAACCTAGCTGGCTAACTGTGTGCTACATGCTAACATAAAGGCTCAGCTCATGATTATGACACTGGAATAATAAATAATAGCAGATGAAGTGCTGTTGATTGCTAATGCAGATGTAGTTTTCTGTTTTTTGTAAACACCTGTATGGCCTTTCACACGTTTGAAATAATATAAACAATATCTATCACACTTTTGACTGCCTTTTTTTAATATTCACAGTACTTTTACTTATACTTGTACTTTCGATACTTGAGTAGCAATTTTTGAAATACTTCTACTTGGAATACTTAAGTAAAAACAAATTGGAGTACTTCTGTACTTCCACTTAAGTATGGTGTTGAAAGAACACTTCAACTCTTACTCCAGTCATTTTTTTTATACAGTACTTGTACTTCTACTCCAGTACTTCATACTTCTCTGAATTGGACTCCGGGAGAAGCTTTGACATTCTCCCTTAGGCGGTGAATCGATAGGAAAGCGAGTTTCTGTTCGCTACATGCCAGCAAACGGCATCTCTGCGCTCTGCCGGGGAACACGGGCCAACGTGGGCAAACAGACGAGGGGCCATTAACTCATAACGGAACGGGGGCCGGAATTCATCATACGCGGAGTTATAAATTCAATTTCGCGAATTGCCGGTCGATGCTCCCACTCGGGAACAATAGATGATATACAGCGCACTTGGCTCAATCCAATAAGGGCGGCCCACGGCGGTCCTGAGCCCACCTGCCCCGTAATCACATTACCTCTATCAAACACGAGCACAGAGGTTTGTGCACGGCGCTGAAAGGAGAACTAACAGCTCTCCCTGTTAAGAAGCCAAACTCTACAGGAGTCCGGAGGAGTTTCGGACCTCTAGGCTCTCCGTTTGGTTTCACCAGAGATGTACAGTGGGGGAAATAAGTATTTGACCCCTTGCTGATTTTGCAAGGTTTGCCCACTTACAAAGAATGCTTATTTTTCCTCATCAGATGGTTATCAGTTTTTATAAAGTCATATGATGTGATTTTCTGGAATTTTCTTTGGGATTTCTATCTTTCACTGTTAGAATGTGCATATGATTAAAGTTATAGATCGTTGCATTTTTCATAAGTGGGCAAACCTACTTACAAAGAATGCCTATTTTTCCTCATCAGATGGTTATCAATTTTTATAAATTCATATGATGCGATTTTCTGGAATTTTCTTTGGGATTCTGCCTTTCACTGTTAGAATGTCCATGTGATTAAAGTTATAGATCGTTGCATTCTTTGTAAGTGGGCAAACCTACAAAATCAGCAAGGGGTCAAATACTTATTTCCCCCACTGTATACAGTATTGGAGTAGAGGAGTGGAGTAGAAGTACAAGTACTATATAAAGAAATTGGCTTGAGTAAAAGTTGAAGTGTGGCTCCACACTGACGTCCAGGAGTCAGATTAACTCTCAGAGTGACCAGATAACCCTCGATGGATGACATTCTGAGGCCTCATTAGCTCTTACAGCATAGTGCTGTATGCTAACAGCTAGCTGGAGCTTCTAAAAGATCGTTGGAGCACCATCAGGCCCCTGAAGACCCCCAAAGAGCACAGATCAGGGCCACTTGGTCTGGTTTACATCAGAGGAAGTAGTTGTTTGGGTCAGACTTTAACAGTTTCATTTTCTTTGGAGGGACAGACAACAGCCCAGATCATCATACCTCCCCTGCCGTGCTTTGGTTTCTGTGAATCTGAGCAAGCGTCCCCACTTTTGTTTGCTCTTTCTTCCAGAAATCTTTGCTCAGAACCTGAGCTCATTCAGACCTTTTCACTTGTAGCCTCTCAGATATTCATTTATCCTCCTGAGACCCTGTGTCCTCATAAGAGGACGTTGCATTTTTG